CCAAACACAAAAATTAACTTCTAAAACCAGACAATCAGTTAAGTAAACAATAATCGTAATAAGAAATAACAAAACAACAAGCATAGGCCTACCAGATGCCGAGAAAATGAACTGTCATGCAATGCCATGGAGATTATAATAAATTGATTGAAATGACACACCAGCAAAGTATCCGTAATGTTAAATAAAATGAAAGTTAAATCTTCCAAGTTCCACCAGACAAAAGCATGTTTCTGTGGGTGATTATATTCAGTAGCTTGACGTTTAATTCAGATTCGGACGTCGTTTTAGATCCATCAGTGTAGATTACAAACTTACATAGCCTTAAACGTGTAGCTATTTTAATTACGGAGGAAGTTTGTAGAGAATGAAATTTAAATTTGTTAAATTTAATTAAATTTTCTCTAAAATAAAACCATTAAGGTTTCTTTATTTGTTTAAAAAAATCTGTTTAATAATAAACCTTCATCGTCTTACACTGAGCATGTTCCTATCACGCACTATGAAACTTTTGGTGATCTGACGTCAACCAATCAAAGCATGTGTTTGCACATCACCACTGCATCCCTGAAAAAAAAAAAATTAACCAATTAGTGGGCTGGATTTCGGAGGCGCGGTCTCTAAACCCTCAGCAAAGGTCATTATGAAGACGAAAATGTTTTGTGTTTAGAAAATAGCACACAAGACCAAAAATGCATGTCAAAACAAAATAAAAGCATCATTTTTATTGATAATTACATTTGCTATGCTGTAGAGAAAAACAACAGGTAGGGCCTACTATACTGTATGGTACAGTACTTGAAATAGCAGAAGCTTGTAATGCATCAAAAAGGGAGGCACTCTCTACGAGTACTCCGACGTAATTAATTAGGGTTCCAATTAGGGCCTAGGCATAGCACTAGGCCTAGAGAAGGTCTGGTAGCCGTCAGTCCCACATATCGCAAACGTTCGTTTTTTTTTTTTCGTTTGTTCAATCACTAATATTGTTATTACCACCTTTACAACTGGTTACAAATGAATAAGCCATAGAAAATACAACTAAAGAAACACTTTCTTACCTAATTCATGTGCCAAAAAGCAATCTTATCTTTGCACGCTTTTTTTCATACTTCTCAAATTATACTAAAGGCACACGCACTCAATCATATATTATACAGTAGATAATTCAAATGTTTGTGGGCAGAGTTACCGGTATGTTGCTATAAAATAAGATGCACTCTGGCTGTACAGCGTTCTTTCGCTAAAACCTAGGTCATTTATGCAGTTTATTTCAACAATTTTCAGGCATTTTCTTGACTTATGAAAATGCATTGTGGACAAAAAGTGAGGGGGACCAATCCTCCCTTTTAAATTATGTAGGGGAACCTGTCCTCAGCCCCCATAATCTGCACCCATGTTTCTCCTCCCCCCCCCCCCCCCCCCCCCCCCCTTCTTTTGGAAAGTTTAAAAAAGAAAAGAAAAAAGAAAGAAGGAAAAAGAAAAATTTGATGACCAAAACTCCAAAGGGTTTTTTTTTGGGTGTCCACACCAAAAAATTGGAGAATATGGACCTCTGAATGCCCGGAATTTGCACTCTCATACCTTAAAAATCTTACCAATAATTCATGTCAACAATATAATAATACAACACAATTTAGGGTGGTGCGATTGCACCGTCTCTACCCCACACTCCACATCCGCCCCAGGTCCCTGGACCGACATAGTAAGTGTGATTAGGCCTTATGGACAGTAGAGTCTCAGTGTAATTAATGGGAAATGTCTCATTTCTTGAATTGCTGTGTTCAGTAACTGGTGGCAGAGCCGAGAAATTATACCTAGGTGCAAACCAGAGTGACCAGCCCATTTCCCCCAAAGAATACCAGCGATTGAATGATAGTACTGTAATCATATTGATAAAGCATGAACATTAATGGTAATGTCATATCAAGCTAAGATTGCTGGGGATGTGGTTCAACTTCTAGATCTGGATTAATTATACTCGAAAAAATGGATACACCCATCACATCTGTGTTTCAAATGCCTTGGTTCAAGTGCCTTGTGGAAATGCCTCACATTAACTCTATACAACAGTACAATGTATTCAATAAGTTAATTAAAAGCTGAATTAATTAGATAATAACAAGAAACAGCTTTTGTTGCATTGCTTAATTAAATTAGAAACAAAGTTATAAACTTGATTGGATGTATCACATTGAGGCATATCTTAATCTACAGTATATATGAATAAGCTGTTGTGGATGATACTGCTTTCACAATGGAATCTTCTTTGTAATGGAAGATTAGGTTCATTAAGTATAGCAGGTTAGGCCCAATCAAAAAAAAAAGATTAGTTTATCACCCTCGCCTGCACGTTTTCTATGGTATTGAGGGGAAAAAAAACATTTTGGTAATTTCTTTTTCTTCATTTTTTTAGTATAGTAAATAGTAGATATTGTTTGTATTATCTCAATCATGTACTGTACTTTATTTTAAACATCACCAGCAAACAACCCAAGGGTGGTGATATTTGGCTTTTGGCTTTAGCAAAATACAAAATGAAAATAAAAAGCCTTCTTCCCTCATCACTTTTCCAGCCTAGATAGGGTGATAAACTACCGCACTGTTTGTACAGTAGAACCCTATTAAGGGGACACTTTCGGGACCGGGACCAAAAAAAGTGTCCTTAATAGGGGTGTCCCCTGAATAGGGGTACCCTATTCAGGGGACACTAACCAAAAAAATTGTGAAATTTTCCCCTTAATAGGAGTTTCTGGCATGTTTTCATAATGATGACGTATAATTCTTTATAATTTTATTTTTATTGACATAATTAGTTACAGTAGAATTAGAACTAATTTATAGCAATAATTTGCAATGCAAATACAATTCCTTTATAATATGAAATCTGCAGAAATGTAACTAAAACGATTAGTTTTATATGTTCCCAATATTGTTTCATGATGCAATGTTAATGAATGAATTAGGATCTTATGAAAGTGCAGGAAAAACGAAGAAAAAGAAATCCCCATGGTTAAGGTTCGAAATTGACAAGATTGCTTTATACGAACTAACACATGCAGTAGGCAAATATTATATTCACTCCAAAGATTTGGGGAGAAAATTCTGGTTTATTGCTCAAATTTCAAAATACAATTTTCCTTTTCAATTAATTTCAATTTCAATTTATTTAAAAAATCTCAAGAACAGGAACAAAACAATAAAACAAACAATAGAACAATTTCATTAAAACGGAAAATACAGTATATTCATATATATACCAGAACAATTAAAATAAAAGCCACAACAAAATTGGATAAATTCTCAAAATACAAAATTTAATCAAATCATTAGGAGGTGAGAACAGAACAAACACACCAAACTACTACCAAACAAAGATGGATTATTTCACTTGATTCAAAATTCTTTTTGTATTTCAATATTAGTTAAAGTACTATTATTATTATTATTATTATTATTATTATTATTATTATTATTATTATTATTATTGTTGTTATTACGTAGTCTAACAAAATCTCGCCCTTGACAAACAGCAGTAGGAAGGTGATAAATTAGAAAGTGTAAGTTCCTTAAGTTTCTCAAAATGTGTCACTATATAAAGTTGAGTGAATTTTTCTTATTTTGAGACTGTTGTATTTGTTGTGATACAATAGGAAAAAAAATGAGGTGTCCCCTTATTAGGGGTTATTTGACCATTTGGCCCACTCAGAAAGTGTCTCCGTCACCTGAATAGGGGTGTCCCCTTAATAGGTGTTAGCCGCAGTGTTAAAAGATATATCGTCCCTCGTTTCACGGAAAAGTGTCCCCTTAATAGGGGTGTCCCCTGAATAGGGGTGTCCTCAAATTGGAAGGCGAACTGTACTATAATTGACTATTGTGCACTGCCTAACAGTATTGTTATATTATTTATTTATATAATGCCAGTGTTAAGCATATCCTGTATTATAAATAAAAGAATTTCCTTGAATCCTATTCCAAAATTATTTGAAACTGTAGTTTGATACTGTCTTTACAAGTCGATGTCAACATTATCTGGCCAGTGACTGATTTTTTTGGGTTTCTGGACTCCAAAACATCTATAGAATGCCACAGAGTGAAATACAATAACTCAAGGCTATTTAGCCTCATGACTCTCCTGTACTTAATACCTGTACTTAATAATTGCACCATGAATCCCAAAGCCACATGAATAATAATGTAGTAGCTCCTTTTCCGGAGATACCTATACAGCCAGCTACTGTAATATTTCCACATCGTTGTGTAGCTCTCAACCATTTTGCACTGTGTTTGTTTATGTAGCGAGCATATTTGTTGAACACAAGCAACTTGCAATTATTATTTCATATTGAGTCCAAGATTATATAGATTTAAAGGCATTTTACCATCCAATGACTACACTGTTTATAACTTTACCAATAAAATTGTATTTTTATTTTCTCCTTCCTCTGGATGGTTTTGGTAAAACATTTTGCTAAATAAGAAACCAGAAATTTTTGTTTTTTCCCACCCTATTACGATCTTCAAAATAAATTGAGTACGGGGAACAAGATATAAAAAAAAGTCATTTAAGCTGCTGAACTTAAACAAGATGAATTAATTATTATGAATCATTATTTAGTTGTTTAACAACTAAATAATGATTCATAATAATTAATAAGTTATTACTTGTATTGTTATGCTTTATTTATTTGTTAAAATAAATTATTATTATTACTACCGGTATTATATTATTTATTTCTTCATTATTATTTTTGTTTTTAACCTATTTAAATAATACAGGTCTGCCTCCAATTAAAGACCACTTTTGGGACCGGGATTTTCATGATCTTTAGCAGCTTTGGTCTCTAATTAGACATTGACAAGACATTGTTAATTTGGGAACACAGAAAAGTGGCTTTTAATTGGAGGGGTCTTTCATTAGCGGGAGACCTGTATACATATTGCTTGAAAAGACAAATTTGCCAAAATAGAATATATATATTTTTTTGTTTATTATCTTGTAGGTAAGGAATTCTTTGTAGGTATATCTCCAAGAACAAACCAAGCAGGAGCGTTAGCATTAGCAAAGGCATTCCCAGACTATAATGTTGCAACAATACAAATATCAGGGTGTATTCATCTTAAGTCACTGATGAGTATGGCTGGACCAGGTATCATTGCAATTGGTCAGAGTGAAGAGGCAAAGAAGGCTCTGAAGGTAAACAGAGTAGTATGTTGGTCATAATGCTACTTGCCTACATACATTTCGTATTATGACTTAAACAAATTTTAATGAAAAGAATTTTCTATAAACACATTTTATCTGCACAAAAATAGTTTACATAAAAATAGTAAGAAGCCCTTTTCAGTAAACCAAGCATTTAACAGATTTAATGAATTGTCTTTAAAAAATTTAAAACATGTCCACCATCTCTTTTTTATTATCACATGTAAATTTATAAATGATAGCCTGGTTCTCACAAGAGCCCTAGTATCCAGATCGGGAGATAACCATTAGCGCTAACCGTTAGCACCTGTGCGAGAACACCCGATCGGTTAGCGCTGACCGTTAGCCGTATCCGGATACCGCTAACTGTTAGCAAGCGCTATCGGTTAGCATGTTAAGCACGTTTCTATAATCAAACAATCACACGTACGCGTTTACAATTTCCAGTTTCTTATTGGCCAGTTATTCGATCATCATATTTCTGGTATCCGGATTGGGATCTTCTCGTATGGACGCACGGCAGCCAACGGTAAGCAGGATCCGGACCCTGCTAACCGTTAGCTGCCGTGTGAGGACATAGTCGATGTGAATACCCTTTTTCTAGAATGTCCAAATATTTAATTCTGAATTTGTTGAAAATATCATTTTCTTATAATTACAAGTCATCACATTGTTATGCTCATCTAAATCCTAATTGTTTTTTTGTTTATTTATTCAGCAAATTGTTCACAAAGCTAATCATGATTATGAAACTGTGACATTACCGGATGATGAAGCAGCCAACTGTTTGTACGTAAACAGAACTCTAATTCACTGTACTGAAGATGAATTTCCTGAAAGTTACAAGGTAAGAAAGATTTAAATAATAGGTAGTTTTCACCGCACGACCTTAACGTTAATGGATGACATCATAATTTATTCATCTCGCGTTACGGAGTATGTTAATTTGAGGATTTGACGTGCTTGACGTATGTTAGTTACAGGTTTGCGCATGCGTATTTCGATTTGTTTACAAAAGGGCAGAGCTGTCACGTTGCATGTTGGGTACTAACGTTAAAGTTAAGGTTAACGTTGTGCGGCTAAAAGTACCTAATGCAATTTTTTTGCCAACTTAGGTCTAGATTTCTTTGCTTCAAAAATTGCTTGGAAATTCAATAACTTTGACTGAAACATGCTATAGCAGACACTAAATTTCATGTACGTCGTCAAACCAATGAAAATGGTGGTTCATAAAACAGATTTATTTGTACAATAACTATTTCTAATAAGCATGCAGTACGTACGATTTGTGTACAATCGTCTTGTCTTTCTCGCCTAGTCGTTTCGTAGGTTAGGCCTATGTAGGAATGATGCTAGCCAGCCAAGGCCTACAACATCGCTCAATTGAAGTCACGTGGGCCATGTAGATTGTAATGCTTATCTATATCTATTATTTGTCTTCATTTCACAGTATTATTATAATATTTAAAATGTTGTTTATTATCTAAAAACAACAAAATTCAACAAATTGTAGGCCTAATCCTACCGACCGTTTAAACGCAATCACGATCGCATCGTGACTTCACTACTGACAAGTACTGTACATGTGTGGAAAATCCCTGATAGGTCATTCTGGGCATGCGCATGGACATGCATGAGCAGTTTTGAAGCAGCCTGTGATGATACAATCGTAGCTTTACGAAAGTGATATTTCCCATGCCAAAGATAATGATAAAACCAACGCTAAAACAAAATTTATTTGGCAATTTTCTTATGTAAAACATGTATTATACTACACTATTAAATTAATACAAGTACAACCATTCTTTTTACCAGCAATATATTGATTTAATAGAGAAATTAACAAAATCACAATCTGTAGATGACAATGTAATGTATTAAGGTTGAGCAATTGGGAAAATCGTAGTTTATACTATATAGGCCTAGGTAGTAAAAAATTTCCGAGGCTGCCGACCTCGGAGAATTTAAGGTCGACAAATTTTTGCCGACCTAATTTTTTCCAAATTTCATGGGCTGGACATGTTGGTACAAAATTATGATATGGTATAATATATTCTTTAATAACTAAGTATTATTGCCTGATGATGATTTTTTGATGTGTTGAAAAGTGTTTTTATAAACAATATAATTATTACTTTAAACTGACATTTTATGGATACTATACATTTTATTTTCAGATAAATCTAGATTTCAATCTTATATACAGTTATAATATGTAAACAATTCTTTGGAGAATTCTAAACACTGAGCTAATTAACGGTTGTTATAAGGCTTAGAAATATTTCATTGAAAATCTTAGATTTAAATTAAGGAAGTACCAAGTCTTAATTTAAGCCTTATTAAAACCTATGTGTTTAGCCTTGTGTATGTTACAGTAGCAAATCAGCTCTATGAAGTGTGTTGACATATTGAATTATTTTGTTTTGATGTGTGATGAGGCAGTTGTCTGTCTTTTATGCATGTTCAGTCATCTTATCACATACCATGCATAATTGATAATTTCATTGCTGGAAGCATCTCGCGGTCTGATACAAAGGTGTTTCAAAAGAGTCATCATCTACAACAACAAATCCTCTCTGTGCACACAATAAAAAAGGTGTAAACATTATCACACATAGTGCGCAGTTCATGTGAGCATACTGTACTTAAAATAGCTGCAAAAATTTGAACTTCCTCACAGAGATCAGTTGTGTAAACCAAAAGTATTGTCAGCATTTCCTCAGAATGCTCATCTTAGAGCACATTAGGACAATGGGCATTAATCTAGTGATTATTAAAGCTTTATGGTTAAGATGAACATTCATCTGACAATCCCCCAGCGACCATGACATCAAATCCTCCAGCTAATGAAGTTGTTCCTTCGCTCCAATTTTTTACATTTTTTTATAGAGTTTAAATTATAGTATTGTTTAAATTCAATGCACCAAATTGTTTTAATTTATATACATGTACTTTTTTTTATTGTTGTACTTTCGACTGTTTTGAATTTAATTACTGTGGGATTATATTTTCTGTATGCTTTTATTACTGTTGCCAAGTATGCTTCAAAGACCTTCCTTTTGATTCCTGGTATTCAACCCCTGTCGCGTGGGACAACTCTAAACTTCCAGAGGTTTTAATCCGGCTGATTTTCAATACTTAGAGAAAAAATGTTTTTGTTAATACCCTGGCATTGTTAACAAGAGTAGAGTTTTCTGAGTGTAGCTCAATGTATCTAGTGGTGTAGAGTATTGATATGGGGAGGGGGGAGACTGCTAGGAATAAAGGATAAGTTGGGAGGGGTGGCACTGCTATTATGGGGCACATTGATGGGGCCAGTGGCAGGATTGGGGAGCAGGCTCTGGGCATACCATTCTGTTGAAAACACTGCTTTGAAAACAACAGAATTTAGAGGTGTCTGTTATAAGAATTTGCTCGCCGCTTGTCTCAACAGATTGGAACTAGCCACCAGCTTAAAAAGGTTGAATATCCGGTCTTCTGAGTGTTACACAAATTATTTGATATAAATCTATTCATATATTACATCAGGATTTTCATTTTTGTAATTAATATTGTGGTTTGCATTCATTCTTCAATGCCTGTGGCATATAGTAATTAATGAGTGAGAGCCTCAATAATTTATGAAGGGTGCATTGCATGCTTTAACATTGTCTCCTAAAAATTGAATATAATAAATAATAAAATGTAATAATAATAAATAACAATAAATGTAATTGTGTTACAATGCAGTAAATATTAAGCTCCTCAAGTAAAAAATTAACAAGGGCTCAAGGAAGTTCACAATTCCCTACATTAAGGTATGGTTACTGCACTCGCGGATGATAAGATTACTGTGGTGCTGGAGGAGGAGTCGGAAGAAATTTCTTTCACCAGAATTAGAAAAAAATTGCACATACGAGATAGAGAATTTGAGGCATATATTAGGAGTATTATTCGTTGTGGTACTGTAGACTTGAACAGGTTGGAGTGCAGTGATGTGATGATTAGATGAACGTGTAATGTATTCATTATGGATTGAAACTCTGCTGTGTAGAAAGTAGGCTCCTAGCAGGAGCATGTGTCTACTACTATGCCCTATACTGCCTTACTGTGTGACTTGTACAGTAATAAGGTACCTAAGATGACACATAACCCATCATGCACCTCCCACCATCCTTAACTGCCAGATCATAACATACACCTTTTTTTTTTATAAGAACCAGTAAATTTTTACCCAGGCTCAGTGTTCTTATTTTTTGGCCAATTTCAAGCTCAAAATGTTCTTATTTGACACACTTTTCAAACTTAGAAAATTATTATTGTACAGCAGGATATACTGTACTGGAATAAATATAGGTAAAAGTGGCCCCACAAAAAAAGACCCCTGAAAGAAAAGCCCCGCCAAAAATGGCCCTGCCAAAAATGGCCCCAGAAAAAAAGGCCCAAGTAAAAATGGCAGGCCCTTAGAAACTAAAAAACTACCCAGAAGAATTCTTTTCATGGCCGTGATTTGACATTGGTCAAAGGTTATTTATTTTCACATTCAGAGCTTTTTCCAATAAATTATCTGATTCTCGTACAAAAATTTATCAGGAAATTTTAACAAAATTGCTGATAATATTAGTGCTGCAGAAACACAGCCTTTAATAGTTCTAAGCTATTGATATAGGGCTTTTTCGAAAAATTGCTTTTATTCTTGCAGTAGAAACGGGACCAGTTTAAAAGCTATTAAAATAAATTGATTAAAAACATGCAATGGATAGCGTGTTTGAACGGCAAATAACCAATTTTGGCTGTACACCTTTTAGCTGCAACACAAAAAAAGCGATTGTCTGGTGAAATGTGACCTCCAGGTCAATCACTGCAAAGACTAGATTGTATTAGACGCGAAGTTTAAAAAAAAATTGTCCTTGTTCATGTCCTAGGCCTACAAGCTAAAAACATCAACAAACAAGTGTAGCGACGAATTCATTTTGTAATTATTTTGAAGGGGGGATATTATATTAGCCCAGGATTACCTTAACTACGGCCGACTGAACACGACCCTTAAGGTTATGAGGTTAATATTTTAAGTCAGCTCGGTCGTTCGCGAATGTTACAATTCCTCCTTTGTGTCAAGTTTTTGCGGGATATACTACATGTATAAGATGTCAAAATTGGCCACTGTGAAGGTGACTTTGATTTGTCTTGCATTCAGATATGAAGATGAGTCGGCCCAGGTCTCACATTGTGGGACCTAAGCCGCCTTACAGTCTGAATAACCTTTTGGACTGCTTAAAATTCATTGATTGTTCACAATTAAAAAAAGGTGGCCCAGAGCCAGTCCTCAGCCGGCGTAACTGTTAAGTGTGATTGGGCTCTAAGTAGGCCTACTACTTAGCTGGGTAACAGTTCACACGTGGCTTAAAATAGTAATGGTAGTCTGAATAGCAAGTGGTATTTCTTGGAGCGACCTAACTTGCCTTTAATTTTACTAGGATTTTATAATGTATTGTGTCATCATTTTATTATCATCACTTTTTTTTTCAAAAATTTAGGAAACAATTTTACTGGGGAAAAATTGCTTGAAAAATTTCAATTAAGCCTACATCAGTTTTATGAGTACTTAAAATTATGAACACATTTATTGTCAATGATGTCTTCAATAACCAGGTCACACCTTTGTAGATTTGTAGACTGTAATGTTTAATGGACTGATGTAGTTTAATACCATCAAAATTTGCATAAAACATTTTTTCTAGGTGAGAAAATGCTATTTTCTTAAAATTTGGTCACTTCAGCACTAACCGAGGTGGGTGGTGATGTGGTTTTGGACAGCAGCTGTTTTGCCAGCTATTTAAATTTAGGGATCTGAAAAAGGATCACTAT